AAAAATGTTCGAAATATGCAAGCCGGAAAACCCAATTAAAATATCAATCTTGTTGAGATTAAAAGCAACTAAGTTGGTCGTCGATCACCCGGCATACAAACGGTCGTCGGCTCATGCCAATTAGGCAGCTAACGGTATTGCTGCCCTTCGCCATGTGGGCGTTGTGTGTGGCTAACAAATCGAGTGAGCTGCTCTTTACATTATGTTCAATACTTTCTGCAGCTTTCCAAAAACCTCGGAAGTTGGGCCTTCCTGCTTTTGCACGCTTTCCTCTTGTGAACTACATACATATATATACCGGAAAATATATAAATACATAACTACATGTGCTTACATTAAAAGTATCATTTTACGATTTCGTCAGCGTACTCCTAACTGTCTCGCCATTTGCTGCAGTGCTGCAAGAGATTTGTAATTGAAATGTTCCAAATTTAAATTTAATTTGAATCAATCTACGAAGTGTMCTTAAATGMTTTCCCTCCAGCGAGTAGTACTTAGTTAAAGAGAGCTCCATTTTAATATTTTGTACCAAGATAGGTAAGCAGGTTAACATTGCTTTGCTCGGCGTTACTTTTACCATACTTCGGTGTAAAAATTGAGAGATTTTTGTGAAATTTGGACAATATTGGTATATTTTCTGATACTTAGTATTGATTTCCGAATGTTTATGTTCAGCTTTATTTTCAGAAATTACATTTGGCAAAGTTTGTGATAAATATAGTGATTGTCTGGTATGAAAGGAACTGAAGAGGGAACTACTCCACTTCCATTTACATAAATGAAAACACGTATCTTAACTACTTTATGTTAGCTCAATGAAATTGAGTAATAACATTCCATTTCTGTAACTCTGGATATAGAAACTACTACAGTTGGAATAAATTTAACCCCTACTGCACAAAAGAATTGAAATCAAGGAAAGTTTATGTACCCGAAAGGATCCGGACTATTTGACGAATCGCTAAAAATGTTTTAGAAGTGTTTTGGGGAGTCTTCTTGGGTATTTGATTACACAAAGCATTCAGAGGAGGCCTTGAAGTCATCGAAAACTTGCTGCATACGAGACATATGTCCTTTTGCTTACGTTAATAAACGATAACATCGACTCGAATGAAGTGAAGTCAAAACTCGGAGAAATAGTGGATGAACTCAACGCATTTCGGGTAATCTTTTGGATAATGTTTTGGGTAATGATTTGATGTATAAAGCGTGTCAATGCTAAACATTCGTTAACCGTGTCATTACTGGTGACGAGACCATGGGTATATAAATATGAAGTCGGAAAAGTCGAAACCGAAAATGCCAATCTGCRTTGAAGGCGCTGAAGACCGTCTCAGCCTAGGCTTATAACATTTGTGTGGGAAGTTGTTTTCGACGTTGCCATGCTTATTTTAAAGGCGATAATAATAATTTACAAAAAAGTAAGTAAAACTTTATTTTATTACTTAGGTTGTATTTCAAAACGTAAGTTTTACTAGCTTTTGATTCCTATAACTTGTGATAGTGTTTAACTTCTGTGTAAGGCTCATCACTTTTTCTAAATTTTTAGATTATTATTATTTTTGAAATTTTAGAAATTTTAATTATTTTAGATTAAACATACCTTTGTATGTATATTAAATTTTCTTACATTTTTCATAAAGTATTAAATTCAACATCATTAATATAACATTCCGTTATTGATTAATTTGCGTTTTTCAAATACAACAGTAAATTGACACTTWCTGCATATCACCCCTTTCCTTTGCCGTTTTTGACCACACACATTTCCTTTTTAGCAAACGCATAGACGGACTCGTTAACTAATGCACCGTTAATAACCGAACRCCGCAAAGGCAGCTAGCTGTTTTAGCTCAAAGCCAGTAAGTACTTCGTGTGCCTTGTTAATGCTGCGGCCACTTCAGAAAATATCAAATGCAACTCTAATTAAGCGTGGTTTATCCGTTTAGCCAACCTCTGCTGTGCTTAGAAGCAAAAAAAAAAAAAAATGTTGATTCGTCACAAGCGATGCCGTGTGGGCAGGTTCTCACTTACGTTACGTTTTATCACTTACCAGAAGCACCCCTTTTTATGCTGATTTTATAGTAGCTGTACGATAATGCGATTTACCACAAAGAACATATTTGATATCCCTTTAGCGGGATTGCACAGTTATATTGCATTGACGCAACTTTTAAAGTGAGAAGTACATTTGTATTTGTTTTTGGTGATATGGTCGAGAGAACGTTTTCTGGTCTTCAACAGATAAGAGCTATAGAATTACATAGAGTCAAGCGCACATCAAAATTAGAAGCAGAAGCTTGGCCAAGCACCAAGAGGAGGTATAACATAAATCGTTAACTGATAAATAATCACAAACAAAATAGTGCAATTCTTTTAATATTACTTTGTTATTACGCTGCACTATCTCAAAAATAGAATTTGCGAATCGTTAAGAGGGGTAAAACTACTTCTACAATGCCTTGTAAACATTTACTAAGTATATACCTACATGTCGATATGTATTACAATTTCCTTGAGACAACAATTCTATTTTACGATTTCAAAATAAAACACTTAACCCTAAAGTGTTTACTTCTAGGACACTTATTTGGATGACCAACTCAATTTGATTTTATTGCCTGCATTAGCTCACTTCAMTGACATTTTATCAGATTCTCATGAGATTTGAAACGGTGAAATAAAAATAAAGAAGTGAAATGAGCAACACATTGTTAGTTTATTAAAAGGCTGACCTGACGGWAAGCTCAACTGGGAATCTAACTGTGATTCATGCATATATGTGAGATTGCATGTGTGTGTTGTTGCGGGTGCTTGAGGGACAACAGGAGTATCCTTAAGTTCTCGTCAAGTGCCCGAAGAGGTAAAAATCAACAAAATAGGTAAGTCACTAAAGCGTTCCAATATGTATAGAAAATGTGCCTCGAAGGAGATGGGGAAGTGACGAATGTCACGCGTAAGCAATGACAACCGCAGCAGTGACCGATTGGTAACCGTGGTGACGGCATTGGGACCTTTGTTTCTGCTGTTGTTTTGGYAAAAGAAAGTGCCATAATGAGCTTAATGGATTATTGAAGGGATCAATTGGTCGGATGAAGAGGCAGACAATAAATTGTAGTACTATGTAGTTGTGAACAGAATATAGTGAATATATGAATGTGAATATATGAATATAGTGAATTAAAGTAAAGTTTGGAGGAAGAAATAAAATCAAATAAGCAAAAATCAACTTAGCTTAACATCAGTTAGCTCTCATATGATACTAAAACAATTAGACTCGTGGYCAAGCAAACCTTACCACTTATTTTTTTGCAGTGTTTTTGAAATCACCGTGATTTGACTTTGCAAACTTTTCTAAAAATTTAAATGCATTCAAAATAGGATATAATACTCAATAAAAAAGTGGCTTCTTTAAAATAATCTTAATTTTTACACTATTTGTTATAAGGAAACCATGAGAATAATGTTTCTCTTATATCTAAATAAGCTTTATTTTTTATTATAATTATTCAATGTTCTAGTAAAATCACTCTTATACTTTTGTATGATAAATTAATAAATATTTACTTCAATGGTTTAATATGCAGTTGAACAATTTTGGCGGCTATAATCTTTTGGACCCGGGCAGACACTGAAACAACTAGGCATTCGGTTGACATTCCCTGCTCCYACACCTTATTAAGTATATTTTCAGTTCGGTCTTTGAGCTAAGCTGGTATTGGAGGTATTGCGGAGTCGTCCTTGATGGTTGTCTCAGAAGTATGCCCATATTGATCTTCTACTACGGGCACAATAAAATGGTACACAACTTCTGTGATTTTGCCGCTGCTTTCCGCGCATTCAAACCATATATATATTAAATTTATATTAAATTTTCAACATAACCGTTACAATTACTGCTCGAGTGAATATATTTATAAAAAAAATCTCTGGTAAGTTTTGCGTGGCCACGAGTGTATTCAAATTTGATTTCTTAATTTTTTAATAATTTTTTTTGGCAAATGGCAACTCTTTTAAATTATTTTTAAATATAAATTTTTATTTTCTTTGTTTTGTTGGCCATATTAAGATATTAAATTAATTTTTATTATTTGTTTGAAGTAAAATTTTCAACCAGTGGCAACACTTATAAAAAAGTTCGAAAAAATTGTCTTTTATGATGACGAGATCATAATATTTCATATATTTTAGCAATTTAGTTATTATATAAAAAAATCAAAAAGGTAATGCTGCCATCTTTTTAATTTTTTGTACCAAATATATTTATTAATAGTTGTATGTTTTGTTACACCTCTTTACTTCTATATTAATATTTTACAAATATGCATAAATACATGTATATTACTTGTATATTATAAACGTTAATGCAGTTAAAATTTGAAACAGGTGGTAACTCTAATAAAAAAATATCAACTTAAGGTCTTTTCATCTGTTTTAGACTTCAGATGAGCGCATTTTATTCTACCTTTTCAAAATATTTTACTACAAATTTTTAAACAGGTGGCAACCTTTTTAAATTAGAATCAACAATATAAGTTGGAGCAGTGTTGCTTATTATTATAAACATGATTGAAAATCGTAAATCGAACTTCTTTGTTGTCAAAGGAAGAAAGCTTAAATGAGTAAAAGTAAAAGTTTTCAAAAAATTCCTAACAACAACAAATGTTATATTCACAAGAAACTAAAATTAATTCAGAGTAGACCTGTCTTACGATCAGACTGAATTATTTGTGTTTTATGAAATAAAATTAAAATTCGTTTAAATAAAGCTGAATACTTTATAGATATTTCAAAAGTTTGGAAAAAATCCACCGAAAAAATAAAATAAATAAAAATTGACTTGTCAACAAATATATTCTGAAGAGAATCACAGGACTTCAAAAATTAAGAGCACCTTCAACCATTGACGCAACAACTCCGAAAGCATTTCGGACTACAGTGAAGCGCCATGCGAAWAGAAAGCTTTTCATTCAACAAATTTGTAAGAAGCTTGGCGCATGCGCAGCAAACGCAAAACATCAACGACTCGACATGGCACGACTGGCCACTACTTGTAGTGGCGGCAAAAGACARCGCTTTCGAAACGGCATGYGGCAGGTCTGCGACACGGCAAATTCATGAGAATTCAGTTTTGTTTCGACCATCGTGCGGTAAGGAAGTTCTAACGGGAAAACTGCKAGTCAAATCTAAAAAAGCAGCATAGTGTGGTAAACACTTGAAGCAGCTTGAAGCTTGTGGCGTGTGTTGAGCAAAGTATAAAAGGTTAATAAACAAACACACAAAAAAAAAAAAAAAAAACAAAAAATAAAAACTAAACCAGATAATAAAAATAAAATAAAATTATTCAAATCTTTTAACAAAACTTAAATTGCGATTATAACATTGAATATTGAATATTTTAAAGCGGAAATGTTGCTCATATATTTAGTGCCATAAAATGCAGTTGGTAATAAAAACGTTTTTGTAAGGAATTAGGTTAATTGGCCTATACGCGCCAGCCACCACACTCGCGTATTAAATATAATACACCTAAGTGCAATTACACGCGTAGGAATCTGTACACGAACGCCACTTGACAAGCACACACACAGTCAGCGCCACGTGCGGTCTTAGTGCAAGCAGTGTGTGTGTGTGTGTGTGTTTTTACGTGGCGTGTGAGTACGCGCGTGGGGGCAGGTGGACAACGCAGACTGAACAGCGCGTGTACCGCGTTGGACTATTAGCATACGGGGTCCTGCACACTAAATGGACACAAGTGGGCTGCATATGGAAATTAGAGCAGTAATATGTGCACATATCAAATTAAGTATTCCGTTTTGCATTAGAATGTAGGTGCGCTTATTTGCTTCACTGCGTAGATGAATGTAGAAGGTGTGTGTGAAAAACAACATGCTTTGCGGTGGGCTAGCTAATTTATGAAAATATATTTCAGTATTAGAGACATTTAAAGACAGAAAGAGTCTTATGGGTGCACATATATTTCTTTCGCGCTCAAAATGATCAATAAGTTAGTATTTAAAAATCACTGTATTGCGTAGAAGTACTCAATCGCTGTATTGTCAGAAAAAAGGCGTCTAAATCAGGGGCTCAGGTTGACTAAACTCACTTTTCTAAAATTTATTTTAAGTAAGTAATGTAAATACGTTTATTTAATTTGCTTTTCATTTGATTTATGAACAGAGGTTCAAAAAATCTTTAAAGCTAAGTTATTATGTTGGAATTGCTTTGAAATTTCACCTCCTGTTTTAAATATTTGCGAACGAATTCTAGTTATATGAATACCTTAGGTGATTTAACGGTATTTTTTGCCTATCGAATACATAATTTATTRTAAAATAATGTTTGGGTCAAAATTATAATAAAATTTTGCTTCATTCGATTTGARAATATTTTGACCACGAACCTTTAAAGAGTAATATTGAATTTACCCGTGACAGATTTGAAAAAAACATGTTATCACTTATTGAAAACTTATAGAATGAAGTCCTTAATGAAAAATAAAATTCACTATGTGTAATTTCGCAGCGTTTCTCTGCACCCTTGTTACTCATACGCCGTGGCCTACATGATGTTATAATTCTTTCTCCAGTGGGAAAGCATATACTTTTTTATAATTCTTTACAGAAATGAGTTTGGTTGCAGTAAAAAATGGCAAATGTTTTATTACTCCTAATTTCAAATTAAAAAAAAAAAAATTGGTAATGAGTTTGGCGGTTTAATAGTGACCGCACTAAAAAGAAATATTTAAAACACTTAGTAATTTTCCTGAGTTTCAAACTAATTTCCGATATTTTTAATGTAACGTTGTACCTTAGCCAAATTTATAATATTAYTTGCGTATCGTAGTGAACCAGAATTTTAAGATGTTGCGCCAATATGTTAATAACTGAACCGCTGCTTAGTAACTGTGCGCATCATGGTAGATGTGCATTCGCATATATTTACTTAAATTTATTCGAATGTTTCCTTACCTTATGATAATTTAGAACACACTCCAATATACAATACAATTTAGACCGAGTTCAACAGCAGCAAAGTTATGCGCTTATTAGGAACGTTAAAATTTCTATGGCCATTGTACCATCAGTGTAAAACTTTTCTGGTGTCTCTGCGAAAAACTGCGACAATTATTTTTCATAGGCTTCTCTAGAAGCCCACTTTACTCCATAAAGGCAATCCGATGGTGCGAGGCCGGGCTATATGGTGGAGGCATCAAAACTTCTCAGCCAAGCTCTCTCAGTTTTTGCCGATTCATCAAAGAKGTRTATGGTCTAGCGTTGTCCTGATGGAAGACGAGCCCTTTCTGTTGATCAGTTCTGGACATTTTTTTCGAWTGCTGACTTCAATMTCRTCTTTGTTGACCGTGAAATGTAGAAATTGAATTRAAATAGAATATTGATTTTAACGATATACAAMTTTTATATACAAAAATTTCAAAATATAACGAATGTCTTCAWTATATTCACTCATTTTTGAACAGCTRTATATTTTGTCAATTTCCCCGAATTTAATTTTTTGGTTAAATGAATCTTTCCAACAYTATATGGTATGACACAATGTGAYTGGTAGCACTGGACATCTATTGACAAAAYACGAAAAATTTTWTTCKACTACTCAATATATTATATTSAAGTGGTCAAATGTATAGGAAAYATATTGTTRGTATTAAAATCACTTCTAAGTACATTAATCGCTGTTGCTTTCATTTCTTAATTAATTAAAAAATTTTGACTAACCTTTGAGGTTAGTTGATGGACTTTTAAGAAGTGCCGACGAAACTACCTAAATCTGATGTATATGAAAGGTCTGAAAAAACCTAATTTTCTATTAAACATAAAGTGCACCAATATTTTGATTTCTTGTGCTCATCCCTTAATAAAAAATGCTTCTTCTTAATTAGCGGAAAATAAACTATAAAAGCACCAACAATTAAAAATAAAATTTCATATTTCTGCAGTGATAAAAGCTAACTGAATGCAAGCCTGCATATAATGAGTTAAAAACTCCAATAAAAATGAAAGAAACTACTTAAGCGTTAAGTTTGTAATACCCCCGAGAGGTGCACACCCTCGGTATGTAATTCCATTAGCGCTCGGCAATTGAATATTTGCATAACACCTTTTTATGAACACGACTCACAGGAAGTGTGCAAGCAATAAGTAAATGTGCAAAATAAAGAATAATACAAAAACAAAGTGCACAAAAAAAATAAAACTTTAGAACCGGCGCCAATAAAGTGTTTTCGGGGACGCACACGCTCGTAAAATCTCAACTACACTAAAAATACAAAYAAAAAAGTTTACGCCAAAAACAAAAACAACGCAGAGTTGGAAGTGAGTGTAAGAGCGCGAAGGAGTGTACGTAAGCAAAGCAAATAAAGCRAAATCTGCAGAGACAAAAACACACGCACATAACGACAGTCAGTCGGCGTAGCAGGAGTCACGCTTCGGCGCCTTGGCSGCCCACTAGGCGTGTTAATCCTTCGACAGCGACAGAGCAGCTGAGTTAAGTGACAGAAAGCAGCTGCTTTTAATGGCACGTAAATAATGAAAAAGACCTATATGTATTCATATACTTATTTGTGCAAAAGTAAAGCGATAAAAGAATAAAATCCGCAAAGCTGCAAGCAGTAAAAAGTTCTGCTCTCCACAGTAAAAGCGCGCAAATAAAAATTACACAAACGAAATCATATTAAATACAATAAAAAATTTTAATTTCCCGGAAATMAAATTTATAAAAGCTGAAAGTCACAACAGCATGCGCACAAACCGTTAATAAATGGTCCGGCTGCGGATTTTCAGTGTTCGCGCGCTTATTTTTGGTCGCCGCTCGCAATTAAAAATGGCTTAACACACACAGCAGTCAGCGCTTGCACGTGTATTTGTGTGTGTGTTGGTGTTTATCGAATTTTCATGTTCGCTGCGCACGACCCGCATGTTATTGTTGTTGCAATTATCGAATAGTTTGTGACATTTCGGAAAAGTTGTGAATTGCAGAAACAAATTGGTGCAAAAAGCAACAAAAAGTAAACACAAAAACAAAAGCAACAAAAATCCAAATTACAAAAACGAAACTGGTGTGAATGAAAATGTGYATGCACACGGTGAGAAAAGTGCAAAAATAAAAAATAAAACACAAATGTTGCTCAGCTGTAATCAGTGTCACAGTTTTTAGTTTCGCAAAGCAGAGAAAGAGTAAGTAGCACTAGCATTTTTTTAACTTTTTATTAATTTTGTCTATGTTGGAAATTATAAATGTGACGAACAAATATTGAAGCAATTTAAATTCACTTTTTGTTCCATTAAAAARTGCCGTGGAGGTTTGTGAAGAAACTATGACCACTTGAGAATATCAAAAAATTTATATTTTCTACATGAATCCATTTGAAATTTTAACAGAACTTCCCTAGATTCTTTGTCAAATATTGATAAAATAAATAAGTTTTTTGATCATAATTTCAATTTTCGAAAAAATTCGGCGGTGTAACCGTGTGAAAATCTGAAAATTTAATCACACCTTCGCCTATCTCCCGTATAGCCAACTTTTAAGTTCCATCTGATTTTTTCTGTTCACAGTATTTAAATTAAACAACAGTAATGTTACTAGAATCACCACYAACAATGTCAGCCTGAGAATTGAGAAGCAAARTCCTCTCTCGACAAACAAAAACCAAACTCKATTAGTCACTCATAATACCCGTCCCGCTGAATGGTGCAGAGGCTTGGACGATGACAACAACTGATGAGTCGACGTTGCGAGTTTTCGAGAGAAAAGTTCCGCGAAAGATTTATGGTCCATTGCGCGTTGGCCACGGCGAATATCGCATTCGACGGAACGATGAGCTGCATGAGATATACGACGACATTGAAATAGTTCAGCGAATTAAAAGAGTGACTACACTGGCTACATCATGTTGTCGGAATGGACGAAAACACTCCAGCTCTGAAAGTATTCGACGCTGTATCCGCCGGGGGAAGCAGAGGAAGAGGAAGACCTCAACTCCGTTGGAGGGACCAGGTGGAGAAGGACCTGGCTACGCTTGGAATATCCAATAGGCGCCACGTAGCGAAAAGAAGAAACGACTGGCGCGCTGTTGTTAACTCGGTTATAATCGCGTAAGCGGTGTCTACGCCAATTAAGAAGAAGAATGTTACTAGAATCAGACTTTGCCCAAATAGTGTTTTCAAGGTATGCCATATAACGACCAAAAATTGTTGAAGTCGAACTAAATCATTTCAGGACCACGCACCGAATATGTTGATATATATATAGTGTATATAGCTGATCTCTTACTACATATCGGTCAATCTGTGAAGTTGAAATTCGAGGACAATAGTTTTATAGTTTTATTAGGACCACTTACTATGGTGTCAAATAGGGGTAGAATCTATTCAATATATTTTGTATATGTATATTTTATGTACATTTTCGAATCTACAGTTGACTTTATACCGCGTTATCGGTCAATGCGTAAAAAATGTTAACGAAGTTCAGAAAGAATTTATTTGTGTCAGAGTACACCCTTGTCGAAAATGGTAGAAATTATGGTAGTACTTCCCTTGTCCCCTTACGAGTAAACGTATTTGATTATGTTTCTTATATATTGGGCAATTTGTGAGGTTTCTCACTGAAATTTAAAGAGTATTTTTTCTGTTAAAGAGAAGGCTAAAACCAAGAGTAGCAAACATTTTTCGAAATATTCTCTACCCCGAATATGCCGCATACTCGTATAAGCGCGTCGTTATTCTCATGGTGATCATGTGGTGTATACAGTATTTTGATAGGGTGCGCAATTTTATCCCTAGTAGAGTGGGGGAGGCTTAACTCATTTAAACAGAAACTTCTGATTAGCTTTATGCTGTACTTGCCGATATATCCCAATATGTAAAATATTTTCGAAAAATTCAAACAAACTATAATATTATATTGTATGTACTGCTGTACCGAAAATACGGTGTTAGCCCAACTTCCATATACACCATTCTATAATGATTTTCATTAGTTCGGAATAATATTGAGATTTCTCATCCTTTCATTGAGACTTTCCTCATATGCTGCGTGTATTAAATTTATGCTCTTTGATTACGTTATTATCACATATTTCAGTTAACCCCGGTAAGGTTTTAAAGGCAAAAAAAAAGGATATATATTAGTTTTTTTACAGCGACATGATTATAATAATTTTATTATRTTTAAAGGCATATTATTGTACAACTTTTGAAGTATACTAGAAAAAAATTTCATTGAAAAATATTAATACCTAAGCCTGTGATGGCGCATCTGCACAAGTGCTTGAAAAAAAGTGGTGAACATTACAGCATTTGAAACAACAAAATGTATATGCGTTTTAAAGGTGATGTATTTAATTCTTTAATGGCATTCGATAAAGCCTTACGCTACAAGGGCTACAGCTGTGTTTATAGTCTTTATATAATTTCCGTTATTAAACTTTTGGACACTTTCCTCTACTAGAAGGGAACAAAAGTTGTATTCGTCTAAGAGCTTAGAACATTATGTCATTAAATATTCTAGAAAATTGTAAATAAACCCACTTGATTTAGTGTCCTAAGCTGAGAAAAAACATCTTTATACACACTTTTGAAAATAATTTGGCAACGGCAAATAAAGTCGATGGTAGACAACCCACAAAATTTATATTCGAGTCAATTAACTTTTACTAATAAAATAAGACATATCTAAGTGTCTTTTCTTCCAATCAAAMCGAGTTAATATACAAATATTGCTACTTTTTAATACACCTTCATTTGTAATATGATAACAAACAGCGCCCAAAGTATACCACTGGCAAGCTTAGTCAATTCGCATTTGGTAAAAGTTTTAATAAATACACATTAAATGTAAATATTAAATTTCTATAGCTYCAAAAAATATTTTTAMAAAATCTASAACTTGCTTTTACTTTTCCAACGCTCTCATTAAAAATAATTTTGAAATGTATAAATTTGATATTTAATACGTAACAATTTYAGCTTTGATAAATTGACGTGAAAAGAACATAACTTCACTAAGAGTTCAAGTATGAAAGTATTAATGTACAAAAATAACGTAAATAAAATGAGCGTGACCCCATTTGCGGTGCTTCACAAAACCAAAAAGCTATGGTGGAGTATGGAACAGAACTGCGGTACACCACTGCGTATGCGGCAGCAAAAGCTCGGTTTTCGTAGCTGCACAGACATGTGTGTGTGTACATTACATTTTAATTGAAGCAAAGGAACGATTTGAGGACGATATGTGTGTWTGYAAATGTATATGCGTAAGAAAAAMCATGTGTACATATGTRTGTRCRTATAAAGRCACAGATATTGAAGAAATATGTTTATAATATTACATGTATATAGATACATATTTTACATTTATACATATTTATATACTTAACACATATACATATTCATAGAAATATTTGTGAGCAATAATTGCCAGATTCTGCCGCTTGACTTTTTTTTATAAAGTTAATGTGTCTAAATTTGCTTTGCGGCAACGAATTACGTAACATGTGAGTGGAAGGCGCAAAGACCTACAAGCACTTAAGAGCYACCCTGGCTATGTACCGCAGTCGAAGTCCTTATAAACATACGAATATGTATAAAATTTTGCCAGCTCTCCAGTGCCCTGAAGCTAACGCTTTTTACAGCACACATCCAGCTTACACGCCAATACATACATAAATACTTATAAACACACACACAAACACAGACAGAAATGTTTGCTTGAACTCTCAGTTCTTTCCTCGTAACCTAATGTGTTCTTTGGTGTGTTGACAAAATGTTATACCATCGCTCCCACACTTGTTTGCCTGCGGTTTGACGAAATTTCTCGCTCAAGGACCCACTTTTCTTTACTAGACATTTTACGCTTTGTGTGCTTTGGAGTGATGCACAGGAGTGCCAGCTCCGCTTTCCATTGCATTGTTTCACATTTTTTGTTCACATTAAAATGCTTTGTGTTTTTCTTTTTCACCCAAATGCTCACATGCACATAAACCAACACAACTGCACGTGTGGTGGAATGATTCAGAAGTTTTGTTGGCCGCWGGCGTGTTTTCCTGCTGCAACTGCTTGAGCTTCGGACACATTTAGTGTTATAATTGCTCTTAGATTATACCTACATGGATTTGTGAGTATATTAGGGATTTCTTTGGAAATTCAAATGAGCGCTCGAGGCAGGAAATTTTATTTAACGCGTGCCTCAACAAATACTGAGTAAGTTCAGCGCTTTAACTTTTTGTTAAAAAAAAAATAGATACATTTAAGGGAAATTCAATAAGATATCTGTCTGGCTGATTTAATCTAATTTCTGAGAGCGTGAGTGGTTATGGTTCAAAGAGTCAGTGTGTTTAGATAAATGGTTCTGGTCAATATTCGTGACMGATTCGCAAGTTTTCACAAGTTTTCCTAGCATATCTGCTTTCACACGCAACACTATAATCAGTCGCTTTGCTGTGCTGAAACATCTGCTCGACAATAAACCTAAATATCAGAACTGAGGTATAACTTGCATTTACTTCTCTCATTATTCTCTTACATGTTCCATTTGATATGAGAGTGGTATGAAACCCCGTTTTGTTATTGTTTACTAGTTGGGGTCTTGACTACTTAAAAGAAGGGTTTGGATTTCGTCAGTACGAAGCTGTCTATCTAGATTTTAATAGCTGGAAATATTTGCCCATTTTTTTTTATTTAACTCTTGAAAACTTTTCTTTGTTAAATCTCAATATATAAATGATTTTTCGGGACGATCGCAATGGAACAACGGCCATGGAAGGTAATGCCACATATACTTACAAGTTCAGTAATGCAGTTATGAACTACCACTAGGGTATTGTGTAGGTTATCGTGCTCACGACARTCGGGTTTACGAAACCGGATTTGATTCGGATGTTTATCTGTCAAAGGACTGTCAGCTCGTTAGTATTTTTCAAAATTATTTCAGGTAAGTTTTTTGACGCTACAACAACAACAGCAATTCTTAGGTTATCTATCAGCCAACTTTCAGCTCCATTTAGCACCATTAACTGTTTAAGTAGTGTTGAGAAGCGCTGATGCTGTACGAGCAATCTATCAAGGTGCCAATCCAAAAGGCGGTAGTAAAGCCGAAAAAGAACTAAACTGAACGGCTGARCCGATTTGGCTGAAAATTGGTGGTGAGGTAGCTTAGAATCAGGGTAAGGACA